CTCTCGCTCTCGCTCTCCCTCCCTCCCTCCCTCCATCCCTCCACCACATACACACCCCACTTAGGAAAAGTTATAAAACAAAACAATTACACGAGTGTGGTCACTCTGTCCTCATTGGATCCAGGCAATTCACCCACTTAAGGTGGTTCTACTAGCTGCGGGCCCTTGCCTTCACCAGTCGCCACAGAAGTCTCCTGACAATCACACCTCTGGCCCTAAGGGCCGGGTGAGGGAAGTAGAGGAGGAAGCTGAGTTTCAGTCCCCTGCACTCCTTGGGAACCAACAGGTTGACAAAAAATGCTGCCCTCAGTTTCTGCACTTCACAAGGTCTGTGTTTCTTGTCCTGATTTTTTTTTTTCCCAGTCTGAGCTGGTGGAGATTTTACTGTGAATTGCGGAGGGGCTCTCATTTATTCTTGGAAAATTGAGCTTGAGCAAGTTGGACCAAAAAATACTAGGTTGCTGTAAAAAGTAAGAAACTGCAAATGAAAGCCTCTAAAAATCCACATCAGTGAAAGAATCTGTACAGTGAGCTTGGCCAGGGTGTAGCACTGAGTCCAACTCGCTTGCTTTGCCTGGTGTTTGCCCAAGTCCAAAGCCCACTTGGATGATCCTGCTCTTATTTTTCCTCTGTAAGTAATTATATATTAGATCCAGCTCCTTTAAAAGACAGAGATGAGAAAGTAAAGAGAGTAAGGCAAGGAGAGAAAGGAAAAGGAAGGAGAAAAAAGAAAATGAAGGAAAAGGAATAAAAAGAAGGAAAGAAGGGAGGGAAAAAGAAGTCAAGAAATTCAGACGCTGCCATCACTCAAACAGATGATCCCCTACTTTCTTTTTTAACACAATTTTGCACATTCTTTGCCTACAGTGAAATTGCTAATTGTGCAATCACATTGTCTTAGGCACATTTCAATCAAATAAGCACAAATGTCTAGAATAAGAATCCAATTAAGACTCAAACTTGCAGCATCGTTTCATGAGCAGTACACTTCCACCTGCGAGCGCCCTACTTCTGCAGTCCGAACAACCTTTGCCACTTCCTCCACATTCGCCAAGATGAATGAGGAGATATATTCCAAGACGTAAGTTGGAGACGTAAGAGATCCCTTGTTGCGCACAGAAAATCTTTTCCCTTCATGTACCTCGGAGCAAGGGATTACTTTTAAATTAAAGTGAACCCCCTTACAGTTCCAACAAAGGGCCACAGCCATTAGTTCCATGCACAAGGAAAAAGATCTGGCTTCATAAACCTTGACTTTCTACACTTATATTCACAAAATAATTTTATACGCTCAGGGCATTTTACATTTTTCACAAGGATCTCCTTATGTTTCAAGGGGGGAAAAAATCTGCCATTCAATGCTCAGCTCAACTAAAACCTATTTACTCCTTTTAATAGCCACGTCTGCTGCTGATTTTTTTGTATCTGTACAAATTTTTTTTCTGTGCGAGGCACAAAGCCGGGCATTTTTCAAAAGAGGGGATTAGAACATTTGCAAGCACCAGACAAAGAAAGAATCCTGTGCAAAAGGACACCGTAGTTTATCCAATTTTCGACTTAGTGCCATTCAACTGGTCACTTATGCAATGTCATCTGACCAAACAACATGTTTTACTTATGAAGGGAAAAAGTTTGTTAAGTGAAGAGACTGAGATTTGTCTCTTCTAAGAAATAAACATTGTAACAGTGCGTCAGAGAGTAGGAGGGAAAGTAGTTCATTCCTTTCTCCTTTAGAGATGCTTTTACCTTCTATGTTTCACATTTTATGAAACCAAAATTTCTCCAGCCTATTTCTTTCTTATGTGCTTATCGTTTTATCTTTTTATTACTCATACTAAAGTACTTTTGCTCATCCTGAGAAGGAAAATATTTCAAGGTACTAGAAGAAATCGAGTATGTTGTATGATAAAAGTAGATACATGCATGTATCTTTAAATAGCTACTTACCTATATGTATCATATAACAATATGTTATGAAGCAAGTTTGTAAATGTGGCAAGTTATTTTCTACCACTCTTCCTGGACCTAGTTGGCAGAATGAAAAAGAAAGAATCATAGCTACATTTAAAGCAAGAAATGAGGAGGGAGTGTGTGGGAGAAATCCGTCTCTCTCCTTTTATTTCTTCCTTTTTAAAACATTCATCAGCATATGCCTCATTTTAAATGCAACAAATGTAAATATACTTTTCCCTGCACAGAATTTTAAGTGAAAGTCCAATGGTTTGGAGGGCGGTCTAAGTCTGCCTAACAGATGCAAACAGTCTTGTGGCTTCAGTTCCATCTTTGAGTCCCCTAAAAAGATTTGCTATGGCCAACAAAGAAAACTGTCACACCTTTTCCCATCACCGCTTTAATTTATGCTCAGTCTCCAAGGTTTTTTTTTATATTGATTTGATAATCACTTTAAGGCAGAACATTTAAAATAAGAAAGAACTCGTGAGTAGGTTGAAAAGGGGGGTCTTGCAGGCCTGCCTCAATATGGTGAAAATGGGAGGCAAAAGGGAGCCAGGGCTGTAAAGGTTGTTTTGTAAAGTGGGTTTTTATTATGCACCGACTCTCTCCGCATTTACTTAACTCTTCACGGGCTGTTGGGTAGGTTAACACCCTTCAAGGCCTCTTTCATGTCCAATACCTCGTTTGTTTGTAAAGGAAAATGAGCCTTTAACACATTTGGAGTCAGAAAAAAAAGACAGCCACAGAGAAATTTTTATTTTTCTTAATAAAATATCAGCATACCCTTTCCACCTTTCCAGCTCAAATAATTCCTCAATCCATTAGGAGCCTGAAGAAGGTTCTACAGCCTGTGAACCTGCAGGCATTCCCTCCATAAGGCCCATTTTGGGTAGCAATGCAGGATGGTCCTACATTTGGGGTAAAACAGAATGCTCAAAAGATATCTTATATCTTGCATGCAGAATAACTCTTCTGACCCCCATAAGAAACCCACACCCTAAGCCCTGACACTGTAGAATAGATTTCTCCACTCAGAAAGTATTGAATGTCCACTGTCTGTGGATACTATATGCCTTGTTGGATTCTCAACGGGCTTCTCATTCTCTTATACCAAGATGAAAGGCTCTCAGGTACTCTGAAGTGTAATACTACATGGTGATATAAAGGGCATACCCAAAAATTTATACAACTTTTACATTATGGTTTTGCTGGCATTTTTTTGGTTAAAATTGTGTTTGCTGGCAAGCTTGTCCCAGCTCAGTGGTTGTTTTGAAATGTCTACTGAGATAAGATCTAAGGGTAGGCCATTCTGAAAGATTTTACTACCCACATGGTCGTACTTATCAGATTTGAGTGATCTTATTTCTTTTTCCTTTATTAAGGGCTCTGTGGAAGCCCAGTGTGGGCTGGTTCTCAATGGCCAAGGTGGAGTGATAAGAAGAGGTAAGTAAGAACGTTTTGACCATAAACATTCTTACTTTGCTTTAAAGATCTCACAGTACTTGTAAACATCAGATTCCTTGTCTGCTGATTATGAAACCAATTACTCTTACTCAATAATTGACGTTCCATATAGGCATAGCTATATTAAAATCTCCTTTTTTCTCTTTGAGGCTTGAGTGCAGGCTGAGCCCAAAAGACTTGTGTTAGGAGATATTTGCTGCTCCTCACAGAACAATGACAAAAACAAAGTTAGAGAGGAAAAAAATTGAGGATAAAAAACACTTTTCACACCTCTGCCCATCACCAATACCACATCCTGGAGCAGAATTTCTGGTCTCTTTTAGTTCTGATGTGTCAGCCACAGCCTGGGTGTTTGAGGTGATATTGTTAGCTTGAGGCTTTGAGAGATTCTGTGAAAGGCCTGATCACTGAGGCTTTAGGGAAAGCTAATGAAACACCAATATTGTAGCTGCCTTATTTCTGTAAGAGTCCAGAACATTTCTTTCTTTAAGGAGGGTGGGAGGAGGAGGTAGTGTTAACTGTACCGGATAAAGCTTTCTTGTTCCCATCTGTTGGGGAAAACATCTGAATCCAGAGTTACCCATGGAATTGGAAGGTGGGGGAAAGGCGAGAGGAGAGGAGAGAGCTGTTGCTTTCAGCTGAAGCACTGAAGGGGCTGCATCTCAGATGTTCCATTTTGACAAAAGGTTTTGAACTATGATATTCACAGGGCCTCAAGGCAGTGCAGATTTTGTTGGCTTTCCCTACTTAACTGTACCCAGAGCCTCTGAAGTTTATTTTCCTAGCATGCTGAGAAACCTGAGGAGCATACAAGGCAAGAGGGACCAGCTGTTATCCCAACTTCATATGAATTAATAAGACGTAGCCTATTCACCAAGACTAATTCCTGCTCCAGGGCCACAGTTGTCTTTAGTAACCAAGCCACTAAAACTGAGTCACTTCTGGTGGTAGGGAATAAGTGTCCTTCAGTCTTTCTCAATTCCTGTCAAAGATTCTTGACTTACTTGCTTTTGTGGGGACAGGAGTGTGCTGGTAGAAAGCAGTGGATATTTTTGTTCAAATTGCAGACTTCAAAATACAATGTGTATATTCAAATTCAGGAAGAAAGAAAACAAAGGGTGTTTTCCTATTAGAACTTGGGTGTTGCAGCAATATATATTTGGATTTTATATTAAATTTAAAAGAGCAGTTCAACTCTTAAAACAAAAACTATGGATATTGCTACACAGACTTTTTTTTTTAAATGGCAGTGTTAAGCTTGCCAGTCAGGTCAATACCCAGTCATATCTAAATGCCAAGAAATAGGTCCAAGACTGGTGAATATTAAAATTAACTAGCCACACGGTTAGGCAAGTAAAAAAAAATTTCACAATGAGAAGAGGTTCCATGAGACCTAATGACTGCGATCTGGTTAGGGAGGCTAAAACTAAAGGTGAGGCCCTGCGCTCTGGGCGCACAGATAGCGGTGGTGCTGAAGAACAGCGCCACTGATTAGGCGACGGGGCCGGCTTCTTAGAGAGCAGTGCTCTCGCTACCGCGATTTTCGCATTCAGTTGAGTATTTGCTGGAAGATCGCCTTCTCCAAAGCTTGAAATTGCGTCCCAATTGTTGTACTATAGGTGACAGAGGGTGAGAAGTAGTCGAGGCCGAGGCCAGGAGCTAGGAATGAGACTGCGGCAGTGGCATCCGTTGACATTTCAGATTTAGGTGGCATGCCCTCCCCCCAGCGTCCTCTCCAGATATGCCAACGCTTTAGCAATCTACAAAGAGCAAGCTGCGGTCTTATCAGAGCCACAGAAATGGTGATCATGAGCAGATGTCTATTGTTCTTCTAGAATTTAGTATCTGTTTGTTTCACTGAAAAATCATCTCTTAATCTGGCATTTAAAAACCAAACGTTGATTTTGTAGAACAGCAGAACGCCAAAGAGAAAGGCCATGTAACTTGGGGTTTATGTTTGTATGATTTGATTAAACTTTAATCCTCATTTCGAAGTAACTAAGAATTTAGCTGCTGAGTTTATTTCATTTCCAATTCTTTTAGCGAAAGGCCAGTTAACCTGTGTGGGCCCTGGAGAGGCACAGTGTGACTACACGTCTGTGTACTCTGAAAGTACCAGTGTTCAGGACAGGCTGCAAGTGGATAACAAGGAAGTGTTGCCTAACAGGGAAGGATATTTTATCAGAGTTCATCCAACCCCTTATCCCAGGACTCCCTATTTTTTTTAGGAAATGCCTATGAATCCCCTTCTCTCGATTGTCACAGTTGTGTACAGGACTTGCTCCATCAACAGCTCAGGCCCCCTTTGTTCATCAAAAATCTAGAACTAATTAAGTAAAGTACTCTGCCCTACCGCTGTCTATCTTACAGCCCAATAAAATAATATCTAATAGCTTCAAAGAGAATGTTTGTTTTTTCCCCAGTCCATGCTTTACAGATGATTCTCCACACAAAATGCAATTTTCCAAAAAAGCACAACTTTTCAACATTATCCGCTTTCTCCCTAAGTTCTTGGATAAATTTATATTTCTTATGGCATCCAGAATTACAATGGCAGGAAAAAATAGATGTTACTTCCAAAGACAAGACCTCCCAAATGTTCCTTTTGAAGAAAGACACATGTCTATGTGCCCTGCATGGGTCTGCAGGGGAAGCTGTCTAGGTTTATAGTATGGTGAGGATTGGTGAGTGCCTGTCCTTTCAATTTGGCCACTTGTAAAAAACAAAATGCTGTTTCTCTGACTCACTTTGGTAAGTAGCAATTATATTGTTTTTGTCTGTAATGAGGGCCTAGTATGGAAAAAAAAATACGTGGAAAGGAGGCAGTGGCGAGGTAATTACCACCTAGATAAAATATTTGCTACCGCCTCAGAGGCGTAGCTCCCTGCGCGCTCACTCCTGGTTAATAGTGTGCGCGATTTTGCCCGCAGCTCCGCCACTCCAACCATCAGAACCAATAATCTTTACTTTACCCTGAGCTCGAGTATCGATAGCTTCTTTCGCCTCGGGCATCGGCTTTGATATGTTAATATTTCTGAGTAGCAAATTCTGCAGAGATCATATTAATGTTGTACGTACAGAGTGGAGCTTTGCCTTCGTTGAATATTCAGACACTGGGTTTCAAAAGGCATCTCTTGAAGAAATGAGACTTCTGTTTACAGGAGTCATCTATGGTTTTAATCATAGAAAGAAAGAAAGAAAGAAAGAAAGAAAGAAAGAAAGAAAGAAAGAAAGAAAGAAAGAAAGAAAGAAAGAAGG